ATGGGGTGCCAGGAATTTGCATCTTCACAACCCCTCCAGGAGATTCTGATGTGCTTTAAATTTAAATCTTGGGAACCACTGCTCTATAACTTCACTGAAGGATGAAGAACAATCTGAACATACCAGAATTTCAAACTCAAAATTTTTCTATTTCTGTAAGATTTGTCTGATATGGGGAAAGTTACTTATTTACGAGAGAGCTCTGGTAGCGTAGTGCCTAAGGCGCTTGACTGCTAACCAGAAGGCTGGCATTTCAAACCCACCAGCCACTTGAGTCTCAGAAGGAAGGTTGGGCAATCTACTTCCGTAGTGATACCGCCTTGGAAACCCAAGGAGGGGTCGCTATGAGTCAGGTCCGACTCCATGGCACATAACAACACCACCACCACTTATCTAGGAAAGATTCTCTTGTTGTTGTTTAAATGATTGAGAATATTTTGCTTAAAAAAGGATTCCAGTACTCCTGTGCTGTGTAAATTATCTGGTTACTTTTTATGAAATGTATTTTTACATTTCAGATTTACATTTACATTAGTTTGGGAGTTAAAAAAAAAAAGTTCCCGTGTGACACAGCACACTGGTTTCACCTCTTCACCAGTCGGAATTTGTCCCTTCTGCCATGGACAAGCAGTTGTCAGAGTACAAGTAAAGGAGAAGGACATCTCATCCCCAGAACAGAAAGAGAAGCAAGCTCTGCTTCCACAACTATGTTCCTTCCCTTTCTGAGGAGTTCCTAAACTTCTGCTAACACTTGGAACATTGTCGGTATATGGATATTCCTCAGTCAAAAATGAGGGTTGAGAGGAAAAGTATAATCAAATTAGAGAAACTGAGTCTACTTTATGGTAAAGCTGAGAATGTGAACACCTGACAAAAGAACACTTCAATATTGTTAAGTGTTAGAGCAGCATTAGGTCAGATGAGCACCAGTTGTTTGCTTTATATTGCAATGTAATGAACTTCTGGGAAACTTTGGCATATTAACTGGAAACTTCTTTTGTCTTGGAAAGATTCCATAATCTGAATCTAAACCAAAGTCCTTCTCCATTGCCTTGAAAAGGAAGGAAAAAAAATATGCTAAAGAAGTAAATCCTTAAAAAATTTAAATAACATGATTAGTAATAAGTGAGTGATAAGAAAAATGGAGCAAGAGATTTATTATAACCAATAAAGATTAGTACCAAAGATAGTTTAAGAACATCTATCTATCAATTAAAAAAAAAAATTGGACAACTCAATATAAAAAAGGATACTAGATTGATTGTTCACAGGGACAACATTGGCCAATGAAAGTATGAAATGATGCACAACCTCATAATTCAGCAAATGCAAAGAAAAACCACAGTGAAATACTATTTCATATCTACTAAACTGGCCAAAAATAAAAAATTTGATAGTACTAACAGTTTTAGCAAGGATGAGAAACAACATGAATTATTGCATATAGAATCTTCTAGGAATGTAAATTAGTGCAGTCACTTTGAAAATAGTTTGGCATTACCTAATAAAGTTGAATATAAGTATCTATTTGACCCAGGAGTTCCATTTCTAGGTTTGAACCTTGTGGAAAGTCTTGAACATATGTATTAGGAAATAAGAATAGTATTGTTTATAGCAGAAAAAACAGAGGGATAAAGACTACAAATAACTCCTACATAGAATAAAAATGAAAGAAGTCTATAGCTCTAAGCATCAATTCAAAACAATATTGAGTGAAAAAAGCAAGTCACCAAATAATGCATACTGTGTGAGTCCATTTATGTGAAGTGTAAAAAAAGGAGCTCTGGTAGCATAATGCTTAAGGCACTTGACTGCTAACCAGAAGGCTGGCGGTTCAAACCCACCAGCCACTCCTCGGAAGGAAGGTTGGGCAATCCTACTTCCGTAGTGATACTGCCTCGGAAACCCAAGGAGGGGTCGCTATGAGTCAGAGCCAACTCGATGGCAAATAACGACAATGTATTATTAAGAATATGTAAAACTGTAAAGAAAAGCAAGAGAATGATTAATTTATGATTCAGTATAATGACTGTTTCTTGTGGGAAGAGAAATGCAATTATTAGTTAGATTGGGACATAGATACGTCTATGCTTTAATTTTTTGGGAACTACCAAACTGTTTTCCATAACCAAACCAAAAAAAAAAAACCACTCACTGCCATGGAGTTGGATCCGACTTATAAGCGATCCCTTCTTGGTTTTCCAAGGCAGTATCACTACAGAAGTTTACCACTTGTCCCAGCTTTTTTCATTTTGAAAAAGAAATTATTATTGTTATTATTATCAGCATTAACATGTTGGGTAAACCTCCACTTTGTACTTACAACTTTAAGATACCAAGCTTATCAAATAAACCAAGAACGTATTTTCTCAATCAAAAATAACCTACAAAATGGAAGAAAATATCTGGAAACCATACATCTGATGAGTGTTTAATATCTAGAATATATAAAGTACATCAACAATTCAACAACAAAAAAAGACTAATAACTTAATTTAAAAAATGCGCAAAGGACTTGAATAGACATTGCACCAAAGAAAATATACAAATGTGCCGAAAAACACATGAAAAGTTGCTCAAGGCTGTCAGCCATTAAGGAAATATAAATCAAAACCACATATGGTATCACCTCACACCCACCAGGAAAGGCCATTATCAGGAAAACGGAAACTACCAAGTGTTGGCAAGAACATGGCGAAACTGCATTGCTGGTAGGATTGTCAAATGGTGCAGCCCTTATGGAGCTCTGGTGGTGTGGTGGTGTACTGCCTAAGGCATTTGACTGCTAAACAGAAAGCTGGAGGTTCAAACCCACTAGCCACTCCTTGGAGGAGAGATTGGGCAATCTACTTCTGTAAACCAGGTGAGGTGCTAAGGAGAGCAGGTGTAAGTCAGAACTATCTTGGGCAGTTACCTAAAATGCCTACAATTTGATATCTGCATAAACATAATCCTGTTAGTTTGCTTCTTATTGGACCTAAGGTGGTTGCTTTTCAAGTTGTTAGCTGTAGCAAACGTTCTTTTCTAAACATGGTGTGGTAGTTAAGTTTGTGTGTCAACTTGGCTGGGCCTGCTTGAGTGTCTGGGTACCTGGATGTAGTATTCCCCATGATGAGACTGGTAATCAACTCCATGGTAGAATCTACTGTGAGCAGCTGAGTAGGTGCTTTAGGAATGTGGTCTGCTTCCTGTATATAAGGAGAAGCCTTGGGGAATGGTTTCCAGCTTGTGGCACACTTGAAGCCTGCATGTACCTGGGTTGTTGTTTGGCAGCCTGCCATGCTCTGCCAACCTTGGGACTTCCAGTGGACTTGAGTGGATGGTGTGCCATGTGGTTTGGTAACATCGGGACTATGCCTTTTTACTTGTCAACCTTGGGCTTTTCAGTCTCAGCAACCAGTAGCTGTCTGAGTAAAGAAAAGATTCTAGTTTAAGTGGGCCGGCAGCAAGAGGCAGAGCTGAAGTCCAAGGTTGAGGGGCTTTCACCCAGCCCCTAGAGCCTGGCACTTTGAATTTGGACTTAAAGGCTCTAAACTGTAAGAGAATAAACTCCTGTTTCTTCAAGCCATTCCAGTTGTGGTATATTTTCTGTTAGAGCAGCACAGAGGTAACCAAAACACATGGCTTGAACAGTTCAGCTGTTAGGAAGTGAAGCTAATGAAATGATCCTAAAAATGTTTCTTGTTGGAGGAGGAGAAAGTATTAAGCTGAAATATTAAGTTGGGAAAGAGCATTAAAGAAACATACCTAAAATTTGAAGTACTGGAGCATTTTGAAGCCAAGAAAAATTTAGGCAAATCACTAAGGATTGTTTCCTATACAGGTAGGAACATTTGAGAGACAAATGATCCACATATATGACTACAATTTTTAGAAATATATTACTTTTACTTCCATTTTTTTTGTGTGTGGGACTTATTTTACATATCTTTCCCTATAGAGCAGTCCTACTGTATCCGGAAAGGTGATGCTTGTTGATTAATGTCATAGCTTGCTTAGGAGAGGTCCACCAAAAGGAAGTGGTGAAGCTCCTTTCCTGTAGATAGTCAGACCCACCTGACCAGCTGGGCCAGTTGGAGGGTGACATATCCTAGTGTGGCTGTGAATGTTTGACTGAAATGTTTTCAGAATGCTGTATTATTATTAATACATTTTTTTTTTAAATGCTAAGGTGCTCTGGTGGTGTAGTGGTTAAGGTGTTTGGCTGCTAACCAAAGAGTTGGTGGTTCGAACCCACCAGCCACTCCACGGAATAAAGATGAGGCGGTTGGCTACTGCAAAGATTCATAGCCTTGGAAACCCAACAGGGTGCTAGGAGTTGGAATCAACTTGATGGCACTATTTTTTCTGAGGGAAGACGCCTTTTGTGGGAAGAGGTATACTCTTCCCCTGTGTATATCTGTGCTGATACTGAGTCATTGTAACATAATGTTTTCCTAAACAATTTCTTGTAAAACAAACATGGCTTAAACATACTATGCTTAGGCAAAATACTGTGGTAGCAATACTTTGAAAGTCATCAGTGGAAAAATATTACTTTAGCACATACTAGCACTTCTTTCCCTCTAAAACTCTAAATTATTAGAAATGCTAAATTCTATCAAGTAGTTCTTTTAATGGACTTGAATTTTGGTCCTCCTCTTTTTGGGGGGAGCTCTAGTGGCATAGTGCCTAAGGCATTTGACTGCTAACCAGAAAAGGCTGGCGGTTCAAACCCACCAGCTACTCCTTGAAAGGATGATTGGGCAATCTACTTCTGTCAAGATATCTCCTCAGAAACTCAAGGAGGGGTTAGTATGAGTCGGAAACGACTTGATGACTGTGTTTGGTTTTTCTCCCCGCCCTCCAGTTTATTTTATGTCAACCAAAGACAAAATGATCCATAAACAAAGGTAAAGTGTGATAAATGATCAAAGAGTATGTGTGACACATGGAATTATATTTTATTTACTCTAATAATGAAGCTTAATAGGTAGAGATGACTTAAATTTTTCTTTTTCTCAATAGCTTTAAGAAAAAAGTAGAAATCACTTCTGACTGCACTGAATATAGCAAAAATCAAGTGACTTCCTACACTGCAAATTATGGCCCTACCATTCCGGAAGGACTTAGAAAAATACAAGGACCTTGATGAAGATGAGCTTCTTGGCAATCTGTCAGAAATAGAACTGAAGCAACTGGAAACTGTTCTTGATGATCTTGACCCTGAGGTATGTTCTACATAACAAAGAAAAATGAAATAACTTTTTACTTCCTTTGAGACAAACTAGCTGCCTTTCAGCACTTAGGGTTTTCAGAACTTTTCCTAGAACCACCCACCCCTCCTCCTCCTCTTTATGCAAGTGAACTTGCTTTTTGCTTCCTCTCCAGTTCCTCCATGTCTTCCTCCAAATCCTTATTGTTACGAGTATTCTAAACTATCTTCTCCAACATCTTATTTTCAAAGTTTTGAAATGTTCTAAGAAATCTTTTCTCTCTCTTCAGGAAGGTATGTTTTTGATAAAATGCAGCAGATGATTAATTCTTCTGTATATGCCAACTTCTGGGCCTCTTCAGAGCTTTTATACCAGATTGACTCCAGCAGAGAGAGTCTCTAGAAGGTCATTTGTGACTTTAAACCTAATCATTATCTCTCTGAAAATGGAAAAATTTTCCTCAGAAAGCCAAGGAGGGGTTGCTATGAGTCAGAGTCGACTCGACAGCAGTGAGTTTGGAGTGTAGTGTGGAGCGGACCTGAATATATGTTTTCATATAGTATGTGAATACCATTTTCTCCGAAATTACACAAGACTGAGGTAGCCCATGGCTCACTGTGGTCTGCATTGTTATATCCTGGTGTGGGTAGGTGGGTGGGTGTATGTGTGAGGGGACAGCCTGATGGTAAGGACTGCTTAACCTGATGGTAATGGTTACTTGCTAGACTTCTTTTCTTTACCACATGTTTCTTTATGCCAGGAAATTGATTTTTTAGTGTCTTATATAGTGAGTTAGAGTTTATCTTACACAATTTTTTTTTTGTTACTGCCACACATTTGTTTCTTGCTGTGATGTGTTTTTTTTGTTTTGACAATTTGCTCCTCTTCTGAGCATTACTTCACCACTTGGCTGATGCGTCTGTACCTTAGATCAAATCCCTTTACCATAATTGCCACTATAAGGACAAGTTCCCAGTATATCCAGGTCTGGACAATAACTCAGGGTAATAGTGCTTTGTTGATCATGTCACAACAATATCTTCTATAGGCAATTCAGCCCTATTACATAGCATAGTGGCTAAAGCACTTGACTGCTAACCAGAAGGCTGGCGGTTCATACCCACCAGCCACTCCTCGGAAGGAAGGTTGGGCAATCCTACTTCCGTAGTGATACTGCCTCGGAAACCCAAGGAGGGGTGGCTATGAGTCGGGGCCGACTCGACGGCATGCAACAACAACAACAACAACATTTACTTGAATCAACTGGTCTTAGATCTGGAAGGAACCTCAGAGTTCATCTAGTCCAGAGTTTTTTGACCTTTGTACCTGATCCTTTAGGCCAGATACTTCTTTGTTGTGAAGGACAGACCTGTGCATTTTAGGACATTAACAGCATCCCTGGCCTCTACCCACTACATGCCAATAGGATACGCCCAGTTGTGACAAATGAAAATGTTTCCAGATATTGCCAAACGTCCCCTAGTTGAGAACTATTCATTTAGTCTCTGCTTCTGTTTTATAGGTGAAAAACAAGCTAGGTGACTTGCCCCTGTTAGTACATTTAAGGGAAGAACTGAGACTAGATAGTAGTCTTTCTGTTAAGCCATAGTTGAACCCTCTATTAACTCATGTGCAAAGCATGAGTGTAAAATATGATGGGTTATATTCTCTTATTTGCAAGTCCGTGGTGTTTTCCTTTATGGGGAGACTTGAGTTCTAACCTCTGAATATGTTTTACAAACTCCTGAACTCCAATTGCAGTTCCCCCAACTCAGATACTATTAACTGAGACTAGAAGAACAGAGATGTTCATTAACAGCATGCAGGCTCAGAGGCAATAGCTTCTTCCACACTCTAATGGAAATTAAAAAATTACACCCACTGCCATCGAGTTGATTCCAGCTCATAGTGACCCCCATTGGGTTTCCGAGGCTGTAAATCTTTGCAGAAGTAGATTGCCCCATTTTCCTCCTGCAGAGCACCTGGTGGGTTTGAACTGCTGACCTTCTGGCTAGCAGCCAGATACCTTACTCACTACACAACCAGAGCTCCTTTTCTAATAGAAATAGGTTTATAAAATTGTAAGCAACATTAGCTGATGAAAGTTAAGCTTCCAGCAGAGAGAGGAAATAAAATCACTGCAGAATCTTTTTATTTCTGTTTGGTGCTGTTTGAGTGAAGTTTTTGAAAACAGTTCCAGTAAAAGACCAGGTAAGGAAAGAAGATAAGAGTAGTTAGCAACTGCTTCAGCCAGCGAAACATCACTATAACTTAGAGTCTCAGAAGACCTGTAGTCTCAGAAGACCTGATAAACGTGTATGCATGGTGCCTTGTCATATTTTGAGGGCTATTTTGCCGTCCTTACACTACATTCAGAGTCTGTGGGTGCTGCAAATGGTTCGCATATTCAGCTCCAAACCTGAAGTTTGGAGATTTGCATCTCCCCAGAGGTATCTCAGAAGAAAGGCCTGGTGACCTACTTCTGAAAAATCAGCCTTTGAAAACCCTATGGAGTACAGTTCTGCTCTGATACACAGGGGGTTGCCATGAGTCCGAGTGTAGACTTGCAGCAACTGGTTATTGGTTTTATGTTACATTCAGTGTATTTATTTGCTAATTCACGGCATTTGCTCAGAACAAACCAAGACCAAACCCACTGCCATCAAGTCCATTCTGACTCTCAACAAACTTACAGGACAAAACAGAACTGCCCCATAGGATTTCTATGGCTGTAATCTTTACCGAAGCAGACTGCCTCATCTTTTCTCCCATAGAGCAGCTGGTTGACACAAACCACTGACCTTTTGGTTCGCAGCCCTATGCTTTAACCACAGCACCACCAAAGCTCCTTTTCTCAGAATAGCTGTCTCCAAAAGACAGCAAACCTAGGTAAAACTATTTTTTCATTTCCAAGACTAGGAATATATTATTACAGCAAAATTCCATTACACAGAAGAACTGTATAATTTTCAGTAGCAGTCATTTTCATGAGTGTTTTATCTTTTTGTTAAGTCATTAGGATTCATTAGTTCACTTGATGAGAATGTATTTCTAATGAAGCTTGAGTCATGGATTTATAGCTCCAAAACCAAAATAAGCTGTTACACTTATTTTCTGGTCAAAGACTGTATTTAAGAATAAGGATCTGGTAGGAGCTCTGGTAGCATAGTGGCTAAGGCACTTGACTGCTAACCAGAAGGCTGGCGGTTCAAACCCACCAGCCACTCCTCGGAAGGAAGGTTGGGCATTCCTACTTCCGTAGTGATACTGCCTCGGAAACCCAAGGAGGGGTCGCGATGAGTTGGGGCCGACTCGATGGCAAACAACAACATACTTCTCTTGGTGTGAGCAGGCAGATTGAATAGTGCACCTCTGTCGTCATTACTGTCACTGTGAAATAGCAATACATTTGTGCAAGCCTTGTGGATAGCAAAGGAAAGTAAACTTTATCAATTTGCTTTAACATGCGTTTTTCTTTGAAAGTATTCTCATATTTACTCAATAAATATTTAAGGGGCACCTTTATATCCCAGGTACTATGCTAGGCTTAGGGATACAACAATGAGCAAAACAAACATGATGTTTAAAAAAGCTTCCCTGAGGGAGTGGTCAGGGAGCTGCGGTCTAAAGAATGAGAAGCAAAGAGGGACCGACAGAGCAGTCCAGGAAAGAGGAAGACATACCTAAAGATGTTGTAGTGAAGGGAAGTATAAGGGAGAAATAAAAGGCTAGCGTGACTTGAATGGTGAGAGTGTAGGGCAGTGTGGTGAGAGGTGAGGTTGGGATAATAGATTGTAGAGGTGTGTGTGTGGGGTGAAGAGCATCAGGCAACCTGATCCAGGGAGATTGGTTGGGAGGCTCATTTAAAGTTTAGACAAGCTTTGATCATAGTGTGGACCAAAGTGATGGTAGTTGAGATGGAAAAAAGTAGAGATTAATGAGGTTTCTGTGTTGTTGTTGTTGTTATGTGCCGTCGAGTCGGACCCGACTCAGAGTGACCCCTCCTTGGGTTTCTGAGGCGGTATCACTACACTATGGAAATAGATTGCCCCATCTTCCTTCTGAGGAGTGGCTGGTGGGTGTGAACCACCAGCCTTCTGGTTAGCAGTCAAGTGCCTTAGGCACTATGCTACCAGAGCTCCCAATGAGGTTTCTGTAGGAAGTAAAAATGGGTAAGACTTGATAGTTGATTTGGGAATGGATTCTTCATGTACTAGTCTTCTCTCATTTTCAAAGTATGAAGATAGAAATCTTGTGTTTCTTTCCTATGTTCCCGCAGACAATTTTGTGTTAACAAAAGTTCTTGGTGCAGGTTAGGAATGGACTTCCTTTGTCTTTCATCTTTATAGGTGAGCTTTCTGAATAATGGGTGCCATTAAATAAAGGAATACACAAATTTGTGGAAATCATTATGGATCTCAGCAAATGGCCAAAGTTGAAGTACAGTGTTTCCTAGTTATAAAATGAGTAACTTAGTAGTAAAATGAGTATTTCCTATTTTCACTTTCCATGTAAGATCACCTTTTATAATGAACAATTATCAAATGTCTTATGCCACCCATGAAGTTCATCACTGCCAGTATTGGAAGGTGTTGTGAAAGAGGGTTAGTCTTTTTGTGTGACTACTTCTGGCTGCCTCCTGTTTTTCAAAGCAAAGGAATCTCCAGGAATAGTGACACAATAGTATCACCCTTTTGGCTTTTGACAAGCAAAAGGATGGTGCACTTTGCTTCTACTTACTTTTTGTTGTTTCTGGACTTAGTGGAAATTCAGTGTAGGGACTACAGAAGACAACTTTAATCTATCATGTCCCACACCCCCATCCCTACTTACACTCTATCCATGCACTCAGAAAGCTGGGTTCCCCCATAAAAACCCAGGGCAGGGTGCTTGCTATGAATATTTCAGAGTACCCTGGTATATGTGTAGATCATTGACAGTTATTGTGCAAATATATCCTATGGGCATGTATGTACATATACCTATAAAAGTTGAGCTTTCCACATTATGTTTAATCATAGATAAGTAAACATCAATCTCTGATATCCCATGTATGGTTGACATGCTTTACTTACAAGAAAGTGTTTATGATGGAATGTGGGTTATTGGAAGGAAGATGATCTATCTAGTCATTTAGCATTCTTTTTAATAAAATTATTCTCTTTACATACATCTGTGCTGAGCAGGGGATCTCTGGTGGTGTAGTGCCTAAGGCATTTGACTGCTAATTGGAATGTTGGTAGTTCAAACCCACCAGCCACTCCTTGGAAGGAAGATTGGGCAATCTACTTTCGTAGAGATACCACCTTGGAAACCCAAGGAGGGTTCGCTATGAGTCCAGTTGACTCAAAGTCAGTGGGTTTCGGGTTTTTTTTTAATACTGAGCAGTTGCTAAGCATTAAAAACACTATTGTTTTTATTACCATCTCAGAAAATTTAAAAACTAAAGAATGCTCCCTACTAGCAGCATACTTTGTAAAGAAAATATACATGTGCTTGTTTTAATAATAATGTAAGTGAATTCTTCCTAACCAAAAAAAATCATCAATGATTTGGAGTATTTTTACATTGCTGCCGGAAAATCCGATAATGAAGTGTTTAATGCTTATATCACGTTCTAGTCTGTAATTTTTTCTGTTCTAGTCTGTAATTCTTTCTTATATGGATAATTTACAGGAGCATTAGCTTTGGCATCCTTGGTGGTCATAATGGCTGATTTATTCTCTTTGGCAGAATGCTCTTCTGCCTGCAGGGTTCCGACAGAAGAACCAGACATCAAAATCCGCCACAGGGCCATTTGATAGAGAACACCTTCTTTCATATCTGGAAAAGGAAGCATTGGAGCATGAGGACCGGGAAGACTATGTGCCCTACACTGGGGAAAAGAAAGGTGAGCACAGAATTTTGAAGTCCTTATTTGATAGCAGTTGATTTTTTTTAAAGGTAAGTCTGAAAGTGGTATTTTTAGAGGTACATCATTGGTAATCTTAGAGATGTGATACTTTTGACTTAAACATTTGTTAGATATATTAGACACTCATTTGCATTTTTCCTCAAGTTAGTAAGTTTCTTCTTGGTGATTTTTTAGTGAGGTTTTATTACATAATAATTTTGCTTAACATTCTCTCGTTATCCACACTAACAAATCTAAAACTATGTTTAGGTAAAATTTTTAATTCACTATTAATAGAATGCAGATGATAGCAAAGCACTGCTTTATTTCAACTCATATCTTTACAGTGGAATACCATCAGCTATCTCCTGCCATGGTTTTAAAACCTTTGTTAAAAAAAATATCCTACACGGAAGGTCCTGCACAGAGCAGGAGGGAAAAAAATGTAGAACAAAATTCATAAGCATAAAAAAGACCAGACTTACTGGGCTGATAGAGACTCATAGAACTCCCAAAATTGTGGCCCTAAGATACCCTTGAAGCCTGGAACTGAACCTAGGGAATAACTTTCAGCCAAACAATAGATAGGCCTACCTATGAGGTGAACAATTACACCAGGGAGGAATTACTGTCCAGTGCAATCAACCGTATGAGTCCAGAACCAGCAGCATTTGCCCAAAAATAAAGCTCAGGAGGCAGGAAGGGACAGGAAAGAAGGATGAATGGAAATGGGGGAAGCCAGAGGAAGTAGGAAGATTTGCTGTTGTGAGGGGATTGCAACCAATGTCATGAAACAAAATAGGTATAAACTGTTGAATGGAAAACGAATTTGCTATGTAAACACCCAAACTACAATTTAAAAATTAAATGAATAATTAAATCTTGTACAGCCTTCCTTAGTAATTCACAATTATAATTGTTAATGGTTTATAATCATTACTTTCAGGAAATTTTCCTAGTCCACATCTCTCCCATCGCAGTATTTAATCTTACATATCTTCCGTGGAGACTGAATGCACCTATGTTTTCAAAATCTTATCTGTAGTAACAATGTGCAATAGGTTAAGTTTCTTAGCTTTCAAAGCAAATGCTAGTTAATTCAGACTTTTCTTGTGCTCCTACATGTCTTTGACTTTTTAGGTTTAATAATAAATCAGCTTTCCAGTATTGACAAGTAATAAACTGAATTATTGGGTTGTTGACCAGATAGTGGCCAGCTCTGAATACATATTTGCCTAAGAAGCCAAATCCTACTTGTACTCTTATTTAGGATATCATACTGGGGATGACAGCAGTACCAGACCTGAAGATCACCTCTTCCAGGCACTGTGTTGCATCTGTTCAGGCAGGAAGAACAGATTAGAGCATAATATTTTCTCCTGATGAGACTTTGGCTTTTTATTTGGGAAGTAAGCCCTCCTCAAGAACTTTGGTGTATATCTTACTGTTTTGGTTACTCTGTGCCACTCTGACAGAAAATACCACAAGTAGGTGGCTTTGATTAACAGGGATTTATTCTTTTACAGTTTGCCAAAAACCATACTCACTGCCATCGAGTTGATTCCAACTCGTAGTGATCCCTTTGGGTTTCCAAGGTGGTAAATCTTTACTGAAGTAGATTGCCCAGTCTTCGTTCTGCAGAGTGACTGGTTAACAGTTAAATGCCTTTGGCACTACACCACTTAGGAGGCTATAAATCCAAGTTCAAAGTGCCAGCTCTAGGGGCTGAGTGAAGGCCCCTTGACTTTGAGCTTCAGCTCTGCCTCTTGCTTCCAGCCCACTGGAGCTAGAGGTATCTCCTCACTTAGGCAGCTGCTGGGTGCTGAAGCTAACAAGCTCAAGGTCCACAGATAAAATGGCATAGTCCCAATATTATCAAACAACATGGCAGATCACAAGTTCATGTCCAGAGTCCCAAGATCGGCAGGAAACATGGCAGGCTGCTAAATGAAGACTTGGCTACATGCAGGGGCCAAGCATGCCAAAACGTTGCAGAGACCTTTCTCAAAACTTTTCCTTATATTCTTTGAAAAAATTAATAAAATTGATAAACCACTGGCAAATTTAACAAAGGAAAAGAGGGAGAGAATACAAATAACACGAATAAGAAATGAATTGGGTGACACCACAATAGAATCAACAGAAATTAAAAGGATAGTATCAGGATAGTATGAAGAACTATACTGCAACAAATTAGAAAATCTAGAAGAAATGGACAGATTTCTAGAAACATACTACTTACCTAAACTAACAGAGGCTGAGGTGGAAAATTTAAACAGACCCATAACAAAAGAAGAAATTGAACAGGTCGTTGAAAAATTACCAACAAAGAAGAGCCCTGACCTAATTCTTTCACTGGAGAATTCTACCGAATGTTCAGAGAAGAGCTGACACCAATCCTACTCAGACTATTTCAGAACATATGAGCTCAAGGTCCACAAATAAAATGGCTTCATTTTATGAAGCAAACATAACCTTGATACCAAAACCAGGCAAAGACATCACTAAAAAGGAAAACTACAAATCAATATCCCTCATGAATATAGATGCAAAAATTTTCAACAAAATACTAGCCAGTAGACTCCAACAACATAACAAAAAAAATAATACACCAAGTGGAGTTCATACCAGGTATGCAAGGATGGTTCATCATTAGAAAAACAATCAACATCATCCATCACATAAATGAAACAAAGGAAAAGAATCACATGATCATATCAATCGATGCAGAAAAGGCATTTGATAAAATCCAGCACCCACTCCCAATAAAAACTCTCAGCAAAATAGGAATAGAAGGGGAATTCCTCAACGTAATAAAAGGCATCTATGCAAAACCAACAATCAATGTTATTCTCAATGTACAGAGACTGAAACCATTCCCCTTGTGAACAGGAACCAGCCAAGGATGCCTTCTATCACCACTTCTACTCAACATTGTATTGGAAGTGCTAGCCAGGGCAGTAAGGCAAGAAAGGGAAATCAAAGGCATTCACATTGGTAAGGAAGAAGTCACACAATCCCTGTGCTGATAATGTGATCCTATACATAGAAAACATAAGAGACTTAGCAAAAATAACTACTGGAACTAATTGAGAGATTTAGCATAGTGGCAGGATACAAGATCAGCATACAAAAATCACTTGGATTCCTCTACACCACCAAAGAGATTGCTGAAAATGAAATATGGAAATCAATACCATTTACAATAGCTACCAAAAAGTGAAATACTTGGGAATAAATCTCACTAGGGACACAAAAGACCTGTACAATGAAGACTACAAATGACTATTCCACAAAACCTAAGAGATCTATGTAAATGGCAAACCAGGCTCATGGATAGAAGGATTGAGCATTGTGAAAATGTCAATACTACCCAAAGCAATTTATACATTCAGTGCAATCCCAACCCAGATCCCATCAGCATTCTTTAAGGATATGGAAAATTTAATCACTAATTTTATATGGAAAGGAAAGAGACCTCAAATAAGGAAAGCACTTTTGAAGAAGAACATAGTAGGTGGTCTCACACTGCCGGATCTCAAAACCTACTATAAGCCACAGTAGTCAAAACAGCCTGGTACTGTACAACGACAGACACATAGACCAGTGGAGCAGAATTGACAACCCAGAAATAGATCCATTAACCTATGGTCAGCTGATTTTTGACAAAGGTCTGAAATCTGTTAAATGGGGAAGAGATGGTCTCTTTAACAGATGGTAACAAATGGTGCTGGAAAAACTGGATATCCATTTGTAGAAAAATGAAGCAAGATCTGTACCTCACACCATTCACAAAAACTAACTCCAGATGGATCAAAGACTTAAATATGAAACCAAAACTATAAAGTTCCTCAAGGAAAAAATCAGGGCAAATTTAGAGGCCCTAATTTATGACATAAATAGACTGTCATGCATAGCCCAAAATGCACAAACAGCTGAAGAGAAACTAGATGAATGGGAACTTCTAAAAATTAAATTTTATGTGCTTCCAAAGTCTTCTGCAAAAGAGTCAAAAGAGAACATACAGATTGGGAAAAAATATTCAGCAATGACATGTCTGACAAGGGATTTCTCTCTCAAATTTCTGGAAAACTCCAGCACCTCCACAATGGAAAGATTAACAACCCAATTAAAAAAAGGGCAGAAGATGTGAGTAAACACTTTACCAAAGAGGATATTCAAGCGGCCAGCAAATACATGAAGAAATGCTCACGATCATTAGCCATCAGAGAGATGCAAATCAAAACAATGAGATACTGTCTTACCCCAGCACTAATGGCATAGTTTAACAGGACAGAAAATGACAAATGCTGGCAAGGATGTGGAGAGATTGGGACTGTCATACACTGCTGGTGGAACTGTAAAATGCTACAACCACTGTGGAAAGCAGTATGGTGATTCCTTACGAAGCTGGATTTAGATATACCATTTGACCCAGCAATCCTGTTACTAGGTATATATCCTGTAGAAGTGAGAGCCAGGACAGGAACAGATATATGCACACTCATGTTCATCGCAGCACTATTTACAATAGCAAAAGATGGAAGTAACCTACATGCCCATCAACAGAAAAATGGATAACCAAACTATGGTGCATACACACAATGGAATACTGTGCAACACTAAAGAATAACGTAGTATCTGCAAAACAACACATAATGTGGATGAACTTGGAGGACATCATACTGAGTGAAATAAGTCAATCACAGAAGGACAAATATAGTATTAGTTCATTATTATAAAAAGTTAAGGAAAGGTTTCTATATGGAAAGAAATTTTCTTTGTTGGTTACTAGGAGTGGGAGGAGAACGGAGGGAACACTGCAAAAAAAAAAAAAAAAAAAAAACCCTTATATACTGGAAGCAGACCACATCCCTAAGGTAGCTACTAAGCTGCTCATAGTAGATTTCACCATGGAGTTGATTACTAATCTCATCTCATCATGAAAAATAACTATATCCAGCTGCCCAGCCACTCAAAACCAGGCCCAGACAAGT